CCTTCCTTCCTTCCTTCCTTCCTTCCTTCCTTCCTTCCTTCCTTCCTTCCTTCCTTCCTTCCTTCCTTCCTTCCTTCCTTCCTATCTTCCCACTTTTATCACCTTCTGAAAGTTGCAGAACTTTTCATCCTTTAACACCCATCTTCCCCAAGATAAAAAAAAAATCTTGCAAATATTGAGAATGGCATTCTGGCCAAGCTTGGAGCTACTTGCACAGAACCTGACAAATAACCCAAGAGACCAGTAGAATTAAAGTGGACCTTTAATTGATCAGCTGAAGTCAATCTGAAAAAAAAGTATTTTGAGTTATTTTGACTATGCTATGCCTGTCTTAATTTATGACTCATTGCTTCCATATTTAGGCTTCTCTCGAGATAACTTAAAGTGTCAGTGAATTAAAAATATCAACAACAACAAATATAATGATATCTATATGTTGTATTATTTTCTGCACAATCTATTTTCCCTTTTCCCTTTTTTCAATGCCTTTTTGGTTTTGCTGCCATTTGTTTTCAGGGACTTGCTTGGCTCCAGATCTGTTGTATGGTCACTATCATACAGTTCAGAGAGTGTTCAGTGTGAATGACAAGCTCAAATACGAATGCTTGGATGGATATGTTACAGCCGGAGGAAACACAACAGAAGAAGTGCTATGTCAGATTCGAGGGTGGCCTCTTGTTCCCAAATGTAGTAGTAAGTAAATTTACAGGACTTTGCTTTAGGCAAAACCAACATTCCTAACAAGGTAGGTATCTGTCAACACTAAAAAAATAGATCATTCGTGTTCATTCTTATTTTGTCTTGCTTTTAAGAATTAGAGTGTTCATCTCCAAATCCTGTTGAACATGGAAAAGTCTATCCCAAGAAAAGCAGTTATGAAGAAGGAGATGTACTTCAGATTATCTGTTTGGAAGGTTATACTTTAAAAGGATCTGAGTTAATTCAGTGTTATTACTTTGGCTGGTATCCAAACTTTCCAATATGTGAAGGTACTTCTTTTATTTAAAAAAAACAACCTGAAAATCATTTAGAAATCCATCTGAAAGACAGTTCACTCAATTTCCCTAGCAACAGAACCACTAGGCAGGCTCCATGCCTACTGTACATTACTGGATCCCCACAGCCAGATGGTAAAGCCATGTTTTCAGGCCCTTCAGTAAAGTCAGCAAGATCAGGGCCTGTCTTAGGGGTGGGTGCCACAGCAGAAAAAGCTCTCCTACTGGGTCCCATCAGATTAACTTCCTTTGTGGATAGGACCTCCAACATGTCTTTCTTGCCAGAGCTGATGGGATGGATAGATGTGATTGTGGAGAGGCAGTACCTCAAATAACCCAGTCTTGTGCCATATATAAAGTTCAAATAGGCAAGTGCACTCCTCCTAGGATGTCCTATTAAATTTGCCTTCCAACAGAGCAGATGTTAAATCAAGTTTGAGACAAATCAGGCAGTAAGATACTTGTTTGGCTTCAGTATTGGATTCAGACTCCAGGATTTAAAGAATAGGTCATTTTGCAATTATCAATCAGGGCTTGTTGCTCAAGAGGCATAGCCCACAAACAACTAAAACTCTGGAGACAGAGTTGTTAGAGCAACCTGGTTCATTGGACAAGAGTTAAGCTTTTACCATAGAATTAAGACTACCAGCCATACATGAGCCTCCATTTTGGTAGAACAATCTCCATTAATATTCTCATTATACAATATATTCCTTTTCCTAGGGTTCATCAAAATAACTGATTATGTAATTTGCTTTAAATATGTTGCAGAAATAGTTAGGAGGGAAAAATTATACTGAATCATTAACTGAAGACCAGAAACCAAATGTTCCTTTTCTATATATAGTATGTTTATCTTTACAATTATTTTTTCCAAGTAAGTGTATTTTACATTTTGGTTACCTTTGATTTCACTTCACTTGTTATCTTTGAAAAGTGTAGTAAATGCGATGTGCTTGATTTTTTTTTTCTAGAAAAAAATTATGTTTTGTATCTGTTTTAGTCCAAGATTTCTTTGGACATAGCTTTTCTGAAAGAATATTCCATAAAGCTTTTACTAAAACAAAATGGTATGTTGCTATTGTTTATTATTTATTATTCTGATTACAGAAAGAAGAAACAAATGCCCTCCCCCACCTCAGCCCCCAAATACCAGATTGTTAACCAATTTAAGAATGTACCGTCAGGGTGACATGATACATTATCAGTGTGAGCATTCATTCCAGCTTAATGGAACTGGAGAAATCCGATGTGAGAATGGGAAATGGACTTCGCCTCCCAAATGCATAGGTCTGACTCTAAATATTAGTATTAGATAATTATATAATGGAAGATGGAATTTTACTATATAATGTAATGCCTGTGTTGTGTATTTTCTCTTCAAATATAAATGTGATATGCATTCAGGGATATTTAGTCATCCAAAATAGAGTATTTTAGATATCAGGCATTCTGGATAGCTAGTTCTATCCAAGAGATTCAGATGATATTATTTATGTAAGCATATCTTTATTCCCGGAACTAAAAGTCTCCCTTTTATAAGTCAGAGAAGCAGTAGAAAATTGATTAGTACCAAGCACATCCTTTTGCTCAGTTTTGAATTTTCCTAGCTATGACTTTGGCTGTCTTAAAGTTAACATGTTGAGAAAGAAAAAAGGGAAATTAGTTACTTAAAAGTGCAAGAGGGTTGAAATGTCATTTACTGTATATAGATAATAATTTTGGTAAAATATAATTGAGCATCATTAGATTGTTGTTGTTGTACTTCTGTTTCCATCATTTTTATTTCTCAGATATGAGCAGGACATTAACCACAGAAGATTATCGGACTGTAAAAACTGGTGGGAACTGCAATCCCCCCCCTGTAGTTAAGAATAGTATTATTGTTACTGATGTTGTTCAGTTGGCAAGTTACAATCCTGGATCTTTAGTGGAATATGCATGTCGTCCTTTACATATAATGAAAGGATCCAGTACAGTTCATTGTATCCATGGATCTTGGACTGAGCCACCAATTTGTTTAGGTAAGCCTTGAAGAATAAATACTGCACATTATATAGATGATTAAATTGAAGAATACTATGAAATCCTGAATAAAGAAATGATGTAATGCCAGATCTTAATATTTTTAAATTTAACATATTTGCCAGCTTTCATTAAAGACCTTCTGAAATATTTCTAGACAGCAGGAATATTGAGAACCAGTTATCATGGACATTTTCTTCAAGAATGATGAATGTGCTCAGAACTTTGTGTTTTAAGTTCGTTCCCATCCCCCATATGGCTACATATATCATCTTTTTATTTTATATAAAATGATGTGTTATATTATTCTGCATCCACAGTGAATCTCTGGATGCCTAATCCTATTTATATATTGCAGATGGAAGACATTAGATTGAAAGACCATTAGAGTGTATTACTATTCTATGAAATTACTTTATTATTATTATTTACAAAGTAGGTGAAAGAAACATGCAGCATTGTATTTCTATCTACCTGATAATCTTTTTTTTTTTTAAAAAAAAGTTTTTATTTTTTACAACAAACATACAAACAAAACATAAAAACATAAAACCATCTTTCAATTATATACATACAGTGGGTCAGTTGGTTACAATCTTTTGTGCTATCCTTTTTTTACCATTACTCACAAGTTATATAAATTCTCACCTTATCGATCTAGCTTGTGCTTATATATCAATTATTAAACATTCATTTGACTATTTTTCCATCATTTTATACGAGATATTCTAATTTTCATTATGATTTAATCTTATACATTCATCCAATAGTTATATATTTTATATTGTATTCTATATCAGTCTATTAACTTTTATTGTAAGGCTTAGTAGTCTATTTCTTTACCATCTTTTTATCTAACCATTGATAAAATAAATCCCATATCATATAAAATTGTTTATCCTCATGTTCTCTAATTTCAAATGTCAATTTACCCATTTCGGCACAGTCCATGATTTTCTTAATAATTTCCTCCTGCATAGGTATTTTTTCATTTTTCCAGTTCTTAGCAAATACAATTCTAGCTGCTGTTAAAACATTTACAATCAAATATTTCAATTCTTTACAATATATTTCCGGTATAATTCACAATAAAAATATCTCAGGTTTAAAGTCTTATGTGTTGTTTTGTCATTTTTTCCAACCATGTGTGGATTATAGTCCAATATCTTTTTGCATCTGAGCATGTCCACCACATGTGGTAATATGAACCAGGTATCTGATGACATTTCCAACATTTATCTGATTTATCCTTGAACATCCTGGCATCCTACAGGTAGGGTAAGTGCTACCTGTAAAACATCTTATACAAATTTTCTTTATATGCAGTTGACATTGTCATTTTATAATTTTGAGACCACAATTTTTGCCATTTATCTAAGTCAATCCCTTATCCAAAATTTTCCCCCACACAATCATTGTTTCTTTTACTTGTTCTTCCTCTAGTTTAAACTCTAGCAAATGTCCATAAAGTTTTTTTATTACTTTTTCATCAGTACCTGTCAAAATTTTATCTAAATCAGTCAACTTATCATAGATACCTTCTGTTTTAACATCTTTCTCAAATCTAGATTGTATTTGCAAATATGAAAACCAATTCATTTTTACACCTTGTTCTTCCAACGCTTGCATAGATTTAAGTTCACCCTTTTCATTCAATATCTCACCATATCTAACTGTGTGTTCCTTTGTATATATTATTGGATAGGAAAAAGCTTCAATAGTAGATAACCATAGTGGAATTTTTAAATAATATTGCTTTTTTATCTTCTTCCAGTTTAGAAACAATGCTTCTCGAATATAATGTCTTCTAAAATACCCCTGCGTTTTAGTTCCCTTATACCAGAGGAAGGCATGCCACCCTAACAGCAAGTCATGTCCTTCTAAATTCAAGAGTCTAGTATTCCTTAATGCTATCCACTCCTTTACCCACATCAGACTTGTCGCTTGGTAGTATAATTCCCAATTGGGCAAAGCAAATCCTCCTCTTATTCTTGCATCTTGTAACAATTTAAGTTTTATTCTCACTTTCTTCCCCTGCCAAATGTATTTTAGCACTATTTTGTTTAAATCTTCAAAAAATTCTTTCCCTAATCTGATTGGAATTGTCTGAAATAAGTATAAGATTCTGGGCAATACATTCATCTTAATTGTAGATATTCTCCCAATCAGTGATAATTGTAAATTTTCCCATTTTATCAAATCTGTCGCAATCTGTTGTTTAAGTTTGACATAATTGTCCTCCTTAAGTGTGCTACATCTTGGTTTTATGTGTATCCCTAAATATTTAACCTTATTTTTGACCTGGATCCCCAAAACTTCCTCCAATTCTTTCTTTCGTCTTACTAACATGTTCTTTGCTAAAATCTTTGTTTTATCTTTATTTATTTTCAAACCTGCTACTTTCCCATACTCTTCTATCTTTTCTATCAGTTTAGGTGCAGACTCCAATGGATCCTCTAATATAAATACCAGGTCATCTGCAAAAGCTTGTAATTTATACTCTTCTTTTTTAATTTTCATTCCTTTTATTTCTTTTTCTTCTCTGATGTTCCTGTTCAGCACTTCCAGTGTTAACACAAACAACAGAGGCAACAGTGGACAGCCTTGTCTGGTCCCTTTTCTTATATCTATAAAGTCTGTTAACTCTCCATTTATCATAACCTTTGCAGTTTGTTTATGATATATCATTTCAATGGCTTGAGTAAATTTTTTACCAAAGCCCATTTGGTCCAATTGTAACAGCATAAAATGCCAATTCACATTATCAAAGGCTTTTTGTGCATCTATAAATATTAGAGCCATTTGTTTTTCAGGATGTGCCTCATAGTATTCCAGTGTATCTAAAATTATTCTCATATTATCTTTAATCTGTCTCTTCAGCAGAAATCCATTTTGATCAGGATGAATAAAATTGTTTAAATATCTTTTCAGTCTTTCTGCCAGAATTGAAGCAAACATTTTATAATCTGAATTTAATAGTGATATAGGTCTGTAATTTTTAACTTGCTATGGGTCTGTGTCCTTCTTTGGTACAAGTGTTATATATGCTTCTGACCATGTTTCGGGTATTCTCTTCTTTGTCATAACTTCATTCATAATTTCTAATCAGTGAAGATTCAGTGTTTCCTGGACTGTCTTATAAAATTCCACTGGCAAACCGTCCGGACCTGGTGCTTTCCCAATGTTTTGCTTTTTTAAAGCTTCTGTTAATTCCATCATTGTTGTATTACTTTCTAACATTGTTTCAATATCTTTGGGTATCTGGGGCAAATTTGCTTCCTGTAAGTATTGTTGAATTCTTTCTTCCTGAACATTCTCTTGATCGTACAGTTTTCCATAATAATCTTGAATAATTTTTTCTTCTCCGCATTTCCATAGCATACATGTCCTTGTTCATTTATCAATTGATTTATTCTTCTCGAGTCTCTTTCCTTTCTCAATTTATATGCTAGCCATCTGCCTGGTTTATTTGCATCTTCAAAATAGTTCTGCTTAGCATTTCTAATTTTTTGTGCTATTTCTTCTTTTTCCATTAGCCCCATTTTATGCTTAGTTATGTCCATTTTAATTTTAATGTCCTTTTTTGTGGAAATTTCTGTAGTTCTTTCTCCAACTTCTTGTAGTCATCTTCCAATATTTTTTTAAAAAAATTCTGTTTTATATTTCTTTTCCTTGTATAGTCCATTATCAAACCTCTTCATCGTGTCCCAGAGGTTCTGTAATGATGTATCCTCTTTTGTATTTTCTTTAAAGAAAAAAGTCAATTCTTTCTCAATTTTCTGTTTAAAGTCTTTTTCTTTTAATATTGTATTATTTAAAGTCCATCTAGATCTCCTTTTTTGTCCTTTCCATACAAGTGTTATTGGATTGTGATCTGCCCAAGTAGTTGCTTCTATTTCAATATCTTGTATGTTAGAAAGCAATTCTGTTGCATCCATATCATATCTATTCTAGACCATGATGCATGTCTATTTGAATAAAAGGTATATTGTTTATTTTCCGCATTTCTCTCTCTCCATGCATCTTTTAAGTTTATCTCATCTACCATTCGAAAGAAGGATTTTGGCAATGTCCTTCTAGTTTTCTTTGCTGTTTTTTGTGTTTTATAATCCAATTTGTTATTTATTATTCCATTAAGATCTCCCATCAGACAGATATTAGCATCTGTTCAATTCAGTTCAATTATTTTCTTATGTAATTTCCTATAAAAATCTTCTTGATTATCATTTGGAGCATAAATTGCTATTTAAAGTGTCTTTAGATTATTGTCCGTTATCTCCACCATCAAAATCCTTCCATCATCATCTGTATATATTTGTTCCGCAGGGGTTGTATCTCTAATGTATAACACCACTCCTCTCTTTTTACAATGTGTTACCGCTGTAAATAATTTCCCTAATTTTTGTTGTTTCAATATATAATCATGTTTTTTAATATGTACTTCTTGGAGGCAGATTATATCAACTTTTAATTTCTCTAATTTATGAAATACTTTTCTTCTTTTAATAGCTGAATTAAGCCCGTTTATATTAATTGTAATCAATTTTTTCTCATCCATTTTAGACTTTGTAAGAAGGATTTGTTGCTCTAGTAGATCTTGGTTCTCATTGTTCTCTGGGTACACCACCTACGGCTCCTTCCACTTTTTCAATTACTGCTGTATATTCCTCTTGAAATTCAATTAACGACTCTTCTTTTCTTGTATCTTCCTTCCTTCCTCTAAAACATTCCAGATAGAATAACTCTGCTTTTTCAACTGTATCAATTCTGTGTCTTTGTTCCTGCCAGGTAAACATGAGACCTTCGGGTATCAGCCATCTGTAATTTATACTTTTAAGTAACTCTTTGGTCAAAAATAAATATTCTCTTCTTATCTCTCTCACTCTTCTTGGTACCTGTTTCAGTACCACTATTTCTTTATCTTTGTACTTTAGTGTTTTTTCTCTTGCCGCCTGCAGTATTTGTGATTTTATTATTTTCTTAGTAAATCTTATATGAACTTCTCTTGGGAGTTTATTTCTTATCGCATATCTTGTATAAACACGAAAAACCTCATCCATTCCATCCATCACCTTCTCTTTAGTTACCTCTAATGCTTCTGCCAGGATTTCTATTATCATTTCAGCAAGGTTTTCACCCTTTTATTCTTCTATATTTTGAAATCTAAGATAGAATTCTGATCTATCAATTTCCCATCCCAATGATTGCAGAGATCTGCCCTTATCTCCTTCCACTTCACTCAATCGGGTATCCATATCTCCAATCTTCTTATCTCTTTGTACATCTTGTTCTTCAATTTTCTTAATTCTGTCCTCGTATTGTATCATCATCTGTTGAATATTTTCTATTTTTTCATCTGTCTTTTCTGTTCTTTGCTTGATATTCTCCGTTCTCTTTTCAATATTATCTGTTTTTACTTGTATCTTTTGAATTCTTTGCATAATCATCTGCAGTGTCACTTCTTTCTCCTTCTCTTGTTGTAACATCACCTGTATTGATTGTTGTCCTCCAGATGGTGAGGAAGAAGAAGTCAGGATTGAGGAAGCTGAGGATGGCATTTTTCTGCTCATCTTGAAGTACAATAGAAAAATTGAATAAAAAAAGCCAGAGCAGCCAATTGCCACTCCAGTAAAAAAAAAGAAAAGAAAAAATAATTAAAAATAAAAGAGGGAAGGGAAAAATCTTCAGGCACTTGAATACCTTAATCCAATTGGTTCCAATTATGTAGGAAAAAAGGGAAAAAAAGAAAAAAAATATAAAATGGAAAAAGGGTGAAAAAATAAAAAAATTAAGAAAAGATTTAAAAAGACCTAAATCTGTATATTCCCCTTGTCTAAGAGGTAAAACAAGGGGGGGGAGTAGTCTTATTCTTGCATAAGTCCAAATATAAAAATCCAACGGGGGGGGGGGATAGAAAAAAAAGGAAAGAGAAAAAGCAATTCTGTCAACAAGCAAAGCACTGCCACTATATGTTCGAGACTCTTTACTAAATCAAAAAACATAATTTCCAATTCTCTTTTCAAGGTCACTTCAATCTTCTTTCTTCAATTTCAAATCCAGACTCCAGTTATCAGTAGTTCCACAGAAGAGCACCTGCAAACAATCTACATGCTCTTCCCACTATCTTTTCAATGAAAAGCACAGAAACCTTGAATGTAACAGCAAATGTATCAACAAGAAAGAAAGATAGGAAAACAATGTATCCGAGCCTCCAGGTGGCAGCGCTACTCATTTCCCTTTCCTTTCCCTTCCCCTCTAATATTAAAATCAGGAATAATAAAAAATATAAAGAATCTAAAATTATTAAAAAGAAAAAGCAAGAGAATAAAAAACGTTTCCAAAGAGTTATTTTGAAGGGAAAAAATAAAAATTAAAAAGGAAAGACCAGTCCAGTTTAAAAGTTAAAATTTTTTAACAAAATCCAAAGTTCCAATAAAAAGAGAAAAAAAAACCTTCAGGTTTAATTTGTGCTTAATCTAGCTGCTTGAGCACTTTTATCTTCACTTTTAAATTTAATTTTAGTCTTTTAGGGTGTTCTCTCCAGAAAAAAATAAATAGGAAATTATCTCACACACTTTCTTTCCAGCTTTCTTCCGTTCTGGAGCTGTCCCAGCTTCAGCAGCTTTAATGGCTGCCTCTCCACCGCGGGAAAAAGGGGCTTCTCCTGGATCTACCAGGGACTTTGCAATGTCCCTGGGATCGACAGGATGTGCCCTCCTCTGTCACCATCTCTACGGGACGGTTTAGGTCCGTTGGGACCGTCTTGCAATGGAGATATCAGCAGCGATCTTAGAGCTTAAATATCGCATGCTGTACTGCTGTGACGCAAGCTCCACCCCACATAATTATTCTTTAAAAGTATAATAATTGTTTCTCTCCAAAAATGTCTTCTCCAAAACAATTTGAAAACTGATTGCTTTAAGTATGGTTAAAACACAACATTTGACCAGCATAGTTAATATTCAACATGTGTTTGAACATATTGTTTGGTTATCACAATTGATATATCTTTATTTTATAAGAAATAGTTAACAACAGATAAGCTCTGCCCATGATACATTTTGTGTTTTTGATTGAGTTGCTGCAATGTGAATAATACATTAAAGGATTGATCAGTTGTTGTTTTTATATATACTGGGGACCATGGTTCTGATAGTCATATTGTTGTTGACCATCACAAAGCTTTACTCTCTAAGGCAGGAGACCATAAAAGGCAGCAAATCATTGTTAATGATAAATGAAGAATGTTTTCCTTGTCCATCTCCCAATGTCAACAATCAATTAGGTTTGTGCCTTGGTAATTTACTAAATACCGATAATTTTTTAATCACAGAACTTAATATATTATTGTTGACTCTTGTCTTACAGAGCCATGTTTAGCTAGGGAAGAAATTCCTGACAATTACAACCTAGAAATGAAATGGAAGTTGGAAGAAGAATGGTATTTCATGCATGGTGATTTTATTGAATTTGTATGTAAACCAGGATACGTTTTGCCACCCTTAGTTTCAGAATCCAAATTGCTGGTGCAATGTAATGATGGACAATTGAGATACCCTCAGTGTATTTCCAAAGGTAAAAGGATGCTGATCTTAACAAAAGTTTTATCTGGGTTTGGCAAATTCCAACATCCTCAGATAGCAACCATTTATAGTCATCACTGATGAAAAAGTATGATAAAAAAAAGCTGTTTTAGGCCCAGTACTCTTCAACATCTTCATCAATTATTTGGACAAGGGGATAGATGAGGAACTCATCAAATTTGCAGACAACACCAAACTGGCAGGAATAGCCAATACTCCAGAAGATAGGCTTAAGATACAGAAGGATCTTGACAGACTTGAACATTGGGCGCTATCTAACAAAATGAAATTCAATGGTGAAAAAAAGTAAGGTTCTACACTTAGGCAAGAAAAACAAAATGCACAGATTCAGTATATTAATACCTCGCACAAATAGTAGTAACTGAAAGGGATCTTGGAGTCCTAGTGGACAACCATTTCAATACAAGTCTGCAGTGTGATGCAGCTGCCAAAAAAAGCCAACACAGTTCTAGCCTGCATAAACAGAGGGATAGAATCAAGATCACATGAAGTATTAATACCACTTTATAATGCTTTGGTAAGGCCACACATGGAAAACTGCATCCAGTTTTGGTCGCCACAATGTAAAAAAGATGTTGAGACTCTAGAACAGGAATGTCAAACTCAAGGCTAGATCTGGCCCATGGGGCCGATTTGGAAATATCAAAGGACCAGCCAGTGGTGCCTCTGCTAGCAAAAAGGGGATGCGGGTGGGGCACCCGTTCCCCCTCTGCAACCGCTTTTGGTCTCCACAGTGGTCCAGGAGGCCTTCCAGGCCAAAAATGAAGCCTCCGGAATGGTCCAGGAGGCCTTCCAGGCTCTGCAGTGCTCCAGGAGGCTGTCCTTGACTCAGAAGGTTATAAAAGGGAGAAAAAAGTAAAATATTTTACCTTTCAAGCTTGCAGGATTCCGTTACTATAGCCTATGTCAACAATTTATAGTTCTAGTCTTCCTATGGAGTCAGTTTCTTGATCTGTTCTCTCTCTCATAAGGTGATCAAGAAGATCAAGCAAGTATTAAAAAAACAAAGTCACAGAAATGTACGCTTTCCTATTTTTATAAGTTTATAAACCATGTCTGCGGAGGTGCAGTCCTGTGTCACGCCCACCATGGCCACACCTACAATGGCCATGCCAACCCCCCCTCCAGCCCTCCAAGGTCAAACTCAATCCTGATGTGGCCCTCAATGAAACTGAGTTTGACACCCCTGCTCTAGAAAGAATGCAGAGAAGAGCAACAAATATGGGACTGGAGGCTAAAACATATAAAGAATGGTTGCTGGAATTGGGTATGTCTAGTTTAATGAAAAGAAGGGCTAGGGGTGACATGATTGCAATGTTCGGATATCTCAGGTCTTGCCACAAAGAAGAGGGAGTCAAGCATCTGAGGTCAGGACAAGAAGCACCTGAGGGCAGACAAGAAGCAATGGGTGGAAACTAATCAAGGAGAGAAGCCACTTAGAACAAAAGAGAAATTTCCTGACAGTTAGAACAATTAATCAGTGGAACAGCCTCCAGAAGTTGTGAATACTTCAATACTGGAAGTTTTCTTTCTCAGGTTTCCTTCCTAAGCAGAGGGTTGGACTAGAAGACCTCTAAGGTCCCTTCCAACTCTGTTATTCTATTCTAATTATCCAAGCAATGCCCATATTTATGACTTGCATAAATATCCCCTCTTTCGCGTGTTCACCATTACAATAAGTTACTGTGCATTGTCCTGTGCCTAACCATTCCCCTGCCCCTTTACAGAGCAAAGAGATTTTGCTTAAATAAGTTACCTTTTCCTGTGCTGCTTTTCTCTCAATGCAATAGGTCCCTAAAATGTATTAATCACAGAATCCCTTTTTCCATTAAATTTTCACCCATTATCTCTAAATAGACCCTGTTTCTCTATATCTTGTTTCTGTCCTTTATATCTTCTTTTCCTTTCTTTCTTCCCTCTCATCTTCTCCCTCCCCTTTTTACCCCCTTGTCTCTCTACTTCTAATTCTCTCTTCTGCATTTCCCTCTTCTGTTGCTTTCTAATTTTATACTTATTTTTCAAACTATTCTTTTTTGGGGTTGTTTTTCCAAATCTTAAACTTTTCATTCTCTTTCCCCCCTTTCCTTTCCCCCCTCCCCACATAAAATTACTTGTTCTTTAAAGATGGCTTCTTCTTTGTCCCAATCTTCTTGTTCTGCAGGCGTTTCTTGTTGTTTCTCATAGTTCCAAATCTCCATTTCTAAGAATTGAAATACGAAGCCAAAAGAACCTCTCCCTTCTTGTGCATCTTCTTTGTACTTTTTAAGTTCCATGTTCAGTTCTTCTAAAAGTGGTGCCATTTTAAACACTTTTAAACAACCACCCAATTGATTTTAATCATTCAAATTCAGTAACCAAAAATCCAGAAGTCACCAAGTAATCCAAATACTCCCGAGCTGTTTCTTCTTACTTCTTTTTTCACTTTCTCTTCCTGGGGTTTTACTATTTTGTTGCCATGTTTCAGTTAAAATGTATCTTTTAGAAGTCTTGTTGAGATTTTACTGTAAGTTCTTTTTAATTCCAGGCAGTCTCCTCCCTTCCAGATCCTGCCCTTTTATTCTTTTTTTTCTCCTTTCCTGCTTTCAAAAGCTTTTGATTATCCAGAAATCTTTATTATCCCTTTGACATTTTATTTTCAGCTTAAATGCCTTTTGATGTCAAAGTGGATTTTTTTTTTTCAATTTCTTGCTTAAGTCTCTTAGCTGTCAGTATAGGGAAAGGAAGAGGAGAGGGGAAAAAAACCAAATCCTTTCCCTTTTCTCTCTCCTTCGCTGCTTGAAAATCTTCTTTGGGAACAGTGTTATTTTTTTTACAGTTTAAATTCCAGGGTACCTTATTTGTTGCTTTTGCTGTTTGACCTGGTCAACCAAAATTTTCTCTTCTTATCTTCCTCCTGCACATTCTTTTCCAGTCGAGTTCTTCTTTGGGGTGGCCATTTCTGACCACCGCTGCAACTGCCTTCAGGAAAGGGAGTAATGGCCAGCTGAGGAGGAGAGATGCAGCTCTCCTCAACCCTGCAGGCAGTCTCCCCCTCTTCATCACCTCTATGGGGTGGCTTAGCCCCGAAACCAGCCGGCTCGGGGCGCTCCAGTGGCGAGCACGGATCGAAACCGCGCAGAGTCGCAGTTTCGGTCTGTCACTGAAGAAGGTCAAACCAGAAGTCTGCCTATAGTTTACTACTTTCTATAAAATAGGAACTGCATGAGAAAATTTGTACAAAAGCACCTTTCTTTTTTAAAACTGATTTTAGCCATCAACATAACTGTCTTATGCTGCCTTTATTTCCCCCCCCACTGTGTTTTGCAGGCTTAAATACTAACTGTGGTCCTCCACCTTCCATAGAAAATGGGGTTGTTATGAGCTCATTAACAGAAAACTATGAAGATGGTTCAACAGTACAGTACAGTTGCAATGAATATCATGTTTTGCAAGGATCCATAACAGTCTTTTGTTCAAGGAACCAATGGACTACTCCACCTGTTTGTATAGGTATTGTATAGTAGTGTTATCATTATAACAATGCAAATAGATACCAAATAAACATTCAGCTTCAATTCATTTCAATATATTTTAGAAAATTATTGGTGTATTCTTGCCTAAATTGAGGGTCCTTAATGTAAAGTTTTCCAATTGCTCAATTATATTACATGGCAATGAATTAGATGTTGCAGTTATGCATTGTAGCACTGGAATGAAAGCTCAGATTTTGTATATATCAACAATGAGAATAGACTGCTCTTGAGGAATGTGATTCTCATTCTGCACGCAGCTTGAATGTTAAATCATTGGAACTTCAAGCAACCTGTGTTTTGAATTAAAGGCTGACATGTAATAATGTTTCCCCGATTCATGATTTGATAATGGATGAGAGGGTTGATCTATTAATGAAATGTGCTTGGGCATGGAGGAGTATATTCCCATTTCAGAAATGAGACTATCTGGGTTTCAAGCATGGCTCCAGTTGCCACTCTTGGTGATGGAATGATTATTGTCATCTGAGAGATGCTGTTGACTTTCAGAGGCACTGCCCCACAGCTAATCAGCTGTGAGGCCCCATGGATAAGATTGGTTTCTAAAGATGGACTTTAATTGTTGCTTTTGTATTGTCTTCTTGAGATTCCCTGCTTGAGCTGCTTGTAATAGGCATGTTGGTGTTAGAGTTCCCCAGACTTACAATATTGGGGGACTTCAACTTGCTTTCCCTAGATATGGAACAGGAAGCAGCTCAGAAGTTCATGGACACCATGCAAAACAGATCTGATCTCACTCAGATTATTTTAAGCCCTGGCTCACAGCAGTGGTATTAGTCCTTTGAAGTAGTCTAGACAAGAAACACAACAATGAATACTAGCTTTATCTTCTAATTAGCAATCTAATGGAGTAAAAATAAATTCTTGATAATTCTAATTTATGAAGTTTAGTTCACTAATATTTATATTTTATCAGATGCACTATAAAAAGAATCCTAATATCTAAGGGAAATGTTATATTACATTTCATGGTATGGTAAAAATAATAATATTGTGTTTATATTCTAAAGAGCCATGCACCTTGTCACAGAAAGAGATGGCAAAAAATAATTTACTTTTGAGATGGAGTTTTGACAATCGACCTTATTTTCTTCATGGAGAATTTGTTGAATTTGTATGCAAAGCTTATCACACTGGACTTCTATCAAATTCACCCTCTGATTTTAGAGCACAGTGTCAGAATGGACAACTATTGTATCCACAATGCGTTAAGAATAAAGGGTAAGGAAAACATTATCTGCACCATATTTTCATACTTATGTAGCCCTTATTATTTCCTTATTCAAATGTATTTTAAGGATTTGGTTATATTGACTAACAAAATGGTATTGGGACAATGTATATTAAATATATTTATCCAAAATGTTCAAACACTTATTTATTGCTACCTCAAAAATATCAATTTCCAAGGACTTCCTGTTTGGTTTCTTTCATTCTGCCATAATTAAAAGAATAGAAGATTTTTATTTTTTAATTTATCAAAGCTCCATTGAACCTGAATTATTGGCAATATTAAAAAGAAATATGTTCTACTCTATTAAATTAAATATCTCTTACAGGACTTAGATTGATGTAGAAGACTTGATAGATATTTATACAATGTATCTTGTAATTATATAAAGCACCTTGTAAAATAGAGAAATGGAAAGTATTTTAGTATGGGTACATAAAATGAGATTAAAGCATTAGACAGAACAGATATTCTGTTCAAGAATATGCAAAAAAACATGCTATAAAATTAGTCCTCTTTTTTTTTTAGATGAGAGATCAGTTGACAGAAAATACAGAATAGGTTACTTGGAAGTTACATTGGTTTATATAAGCTCTATTTTGAGCTGAGCAGTACTCCTGTTTTCTCACTTATGAATAATTAATCTGATATTCTAAACTAGGAGTCTCCAACTCAAGGCCCAGAGGCCGCATCTGGCCCATTGGGTGCTTAAATCTAGCTGGGAATATCAAAGGACCAGCCCGCGGTGCCTCTGCTAGCAAAAATAGGCCGAAAAATGGGCTGAAGACAGGGCTGAAAATGGGCCAAAACAGGCCAGAAAATGGGCCAAAAACAGATCAAAAAAGGGCCAAAAAATGAACCAAAAATGGGCTATACCAGTGGTGGGATTCAAATTTTTTTACTACCAGTTCTGTGGGCATAGCTTGGTGGGCGTGGGGAAGGATACTGTAAAATCTCCTGTCAGAGGTGGTTTTTGCTGGTTTTCTGAACTACTCAAAATTTCCACTACCGTTTCTCCAGAACTGGTCAGAACCTGCTGAATACCACCTCTGGGCTGTATTGCCCGTTTTCAGCCTCAATGGCCTCCAGCAGCACTTTGCTGCCCCAAAATAGGCCACACAGGGGCCTTGGGAGGCCTGTTTTTGCTTGGCAGAGTGCTGCAGGAGGACATGGAGGGCAAAAATGAGGTGCGGCCCCCATGGCCCATTTTGCCCAGTAAAGTGCTGCAGGAGGCGTCAGTCCCATCTTCTCCTCATTCCCTGTCACCTCCCATATTGGCCCATGGAGGAGAACTACAATGCTGACCCGCCCTTGAAGAAATCCTGTGTGACACCCTTATTCTAAACCAAGCTTTAGAAGTACTGGATATAATTATATATTTTGTCTCTCTTTGTAAGTAACATATTTTGTTTTTCTTTAGATAAGAAAATTTGAAAAAAAAATCCTTGAGTGACTTCTCTTCCTCGTTTCATCTTGCAAGAAACATGCAAATTAACATTCATCATAGTACCTTTTTTTTTTTTTTAACTGCTGGAAGACTAGTTACTCAGGTTTATTGGAATAGCTGTTGTCTTCAGCATGGAACATCATTTGAAGATGCTTACAAACAGGATAATTCTGATTTGGATTCGGATAAATAAATATTCATATTTATTACAACAAAAGCTTTGCATTTACTGACTTCATTTTTTAAAATATACCTAAAAAGACTTTTTTCATATCTGAGATTAATCAGCACACTCCGGGTATGTGACACAGTAATATGAGGTTTATTAATCATATGTGACACAGTAATATGAGGTTTATTAATCATAATCATTTTATTTATTAAGCCTTTTGAGGGTGAAGGTTCGTTCTCTGGGCTAAAGCCTGTTAAAACATTTGCTTAACAAAATAAAAGTGTATATTAGGCTTTCAGGATGCACTTTTTCTAATACAGAAATCTTAATGGCCTTCCATGAACTAACTTCATCCACTGTACAATTCCAGTGGGAACCCAAATTGCTATGATTGTGCATAGAAAAACTTAGGAAATCTATTATGAAAAAAGTCAAGAGCAGAACTTTGGCTATTGGATTTGAGAGGTTCATTGCAGGAACAACAGTTCAGGTAGAGAGATTGTCTTGACACTGAGTCTCCACTTCCAGGAATAAAGGAGACGACTAGATCTGAATGCTTTGCTATTTCATCCTCAGCAACTACTTGATCTTGGATGGGGATATTTGAAGATCAGATATCAAGATGAATGACAACGGGTATCTGTCTCCTTTTTATACATGACTGGAAATACCCAAAATGCAAATCACCAATTAATTAATGCAAAGCAAAAGGATTTATTAAGGATGATAAATTCTTTGCAGAAATTAGGTATGGCTAGTATTAAGAAAAAAAGGACTAGGGTGACATGATAGCAGCTTTTGAGGGGCTACCATAAAGAAGAGGGGGTTAACCTATTTTCCAAAGCACCAAAAGGCAAGGCAAGAAACATTGGATGGAAACTAATCAAGGAGAAAGGCAACCTGGAATTAAGGAGAAACTTTCTAACAATGAGAACCAGAGGTGGGATTCTACTGGTTCGGACTGGTTCGGGCAAACCCCTTGCTCCAAAGATCAGCTGGCAGCCAACTAGTTCACTGCGACAAGCATGTGGGCCCGCACACCTACTCCTGCTCTTTCCTGTGCTTTATTTCCTTTTTTTTTTTAGAGCACAGCTGATTCGCGCGGCAGAGAGGTTTGCCGTGCCTCAAGTGTTTTATTCACAGGGACTGCAGTAGAAGGTGAGTATTAGAGCTTTTTTAAACGCAGATAGAGAGTGCACAAAGCACATATGTGCACGCAAAGTGAGCGATCACCGAACTGGTTGTTATCCCAGTGGAATCCCACCCCTACTTCAACCCCAGCCCGGGCCACACGGCCTCTCTGGGGCACTCTCAGTCCACAATCCAACCAGGGATGGGATTCAACCGGTGTTACTACCGGTTCGGTGACTGTGTTTTGCCTGACGTGCACTGCACACGCATGTAAAAAACCTTAAGCTGTGCCCCCCCAGACAGCTGAAAAGTGCTGCATGCAGGTGCACAGCATTTGAAAAGCCACTTTTTTCCTGCTTTTTCAACCTCAGCTGTGCTGCATAGCAAACACAGAACCGTTTCGGTGTCTGCTGCTCTTCAGAGCTACCGGTTCTATAGAGCCAGGCAGAACCGGTAGCATCCCACCCCTGAATCTAACCAACACCACCAAAAAACCAGTCGTTCAGCAAAAACAAGCCAAATTTTAAAAGAGAAAAATTAAAAGGTGCGAAAAAGAGAAAAACAAAAAGCAGCTGAACCAGAAAAGCCGGACAGCTGTCAAACCTTCCCGCAAATCTAAAGGATGAAGAGAATCCAGGGAGTAGAATAATTCTTCAACAAATTCCAACAATTAAGAGCTCTTTTAGGCTGGTCTGAATGAGCTGAGACCGAGTGAAGAACTGGGGACCATTGCCAGGGGAGGGGGGATGTCCTCAGAATTCAACTCGGTCTGTAGAGAAACAAGGCTAGAGACTACCCAGCCTGGATTCTCCCTTTGATTCAATTAACCAGATAAATGGCTTGCCTTAGAAGTTGTGGGTGCCTCCATCACTGGAGGTTTTTAAGAAGAGACTGGGAAGCCACTTGTTTGAAATAATATAGGGTCTTCTGCTTGAGGAGGGGATTGGGCTGGAAGACCTCTAAGGTCCCCTCCAGCTGTATTGATTATTATGATTATTGAAACAAATGATACATACATTTTTCTATGTAATAGGTCAAAAGGCAAGTGATCAAAGAACACAAGACATTGATTACATGTCAGAAAAATAGAAAACATTATTCCACATAACATTCCACAAGTGGCATATTTATGGGTTACATTTCTGCTTCTCAGCTGGGATTGTTATTTTTCTTAAAACTTAAAATTGTATTCATGGACTTTCAGAATACACCCTCTATTGTATAGTGATGAAAAAACAAGTTCTCCCATACCAAAAGAAATGGCCTGGACTAAGAAAAAAAATCGTTGGATTTTTTTTTTTTAAAAAAAAAGGCCTAGACTGTCATGCTAAAAATGCCAAATATCACCTTTAAAATGCTAAAAATGAAGCCTAAAATTCTAGATGACCTATCACTTATTCCTCAGGAAGAGGAGGAATAGTACTAAATAGTATTAAAACTATTTCTTACAACATGATTTTATTACTCTGCTCTTTGTGCAGAGTAATTTCTAATTCTCTAATTGGCCTTACTCTCTCAGCTACGGCTTGTTCCACTGTTTTATTTTTTTACCTAAGGAAAGCCCTAAACTAAGGATGAGGAGAAGCTTTAAAGGCAAAACAGATCCCCTTTTAAAACAGAAGATGATTCCTATTTAGAATGTGTATGTGTACTGTATCTAGTAAGCAGCAGTAAACACACATACACAAATATAACTGGAAAAATTAGTTCTCCAAAATATAGAATAATCAGTCTTTCCCAATATTCTTTTGCTCAAATGACCCCCGCCCTGTCCCCTCATGCTTGCTTGGCAGAGATCATTTCACATGTTTGTATATTAATGTGTGGGTCTCAGAAAATCCCATGTGGGTTTTCTTGTATAATGAATTAGTTTAGGAATTTAAAGTCTGTTCCCCATAGTTCTTTCCTTTGACAAATTCTGAAGAACATTTGTCTTGGGTAAGCATATTGCTTAATACTTTATAATGCAGGTTTCTAATAAACACAGAAGTCTTGTGGACTTTGGAGTATGAATAAGTAAATAATCTGTTTTGTTGATCCAGAGTTGAAAAACCTTCCCAAGGACAGTAATTGGTGTCAGTGATTAAGAGCCCCAACTATACAGTGTGGATCTTGACATTCTGAAATACTGATATGCGCTGTTTTAGCTATACAATTTTTGTCCTGTTATGGACAAATTGTGTTCTCCAGAAAGGTAAGTTATTCAAGGAGAAGTAAAGGTTGTAAATTTTTTGCAGGGCAAAT